GGAAATCAAACGAAAGGGAAAAAGAAAGCTTAAATGGGTCGATCATGGACGTCAATGCAGATATAGAACCCAAAATACGAAAAAGGTAAAATCGAGAGCTCACGTTCGTTTATACAACTCCCTTGACTCTTCTCACAGTAAATCCGGAAGATAGAGAAAGAGAGTCCTAACATAGAAGTTCCTCCACCGAATGAATCTTTGACAACAACAAAACTAATTAGATCAAAGTGAAACGGAGGGAGAAACTTCAAATGTTTTTTCTGGTTCGCTTGCCCGCTCTGACGACTCTAAAGTTCAGATCGATTGTCAACTCCAAAACACAGAATCACTGTCCGAAATAGCAAACAAAAGAGATGAATCATAAAGATAAAACAGAAGGGAAAAAATGAGAAGGAAAAGAGACTATGCCTAGCCACTGTCTCAAGAGGATATGATTACGACGATGTTGCGAACGGTGTCTTACCCCCCCAAATCCTCATCAGCGAATTTGATTATAAAATCTCCAAGACCAGACATGCTCTTCTGAAACAGGAAGAGAGACCATGATCACATTCAAGAAAAATCAGAAAACAATAACCTAAAAACGATAACCCAAAACATCGAACCTGCTTCTTCCCCAACCCGACCGTCAATCTCTCAAACCCGACAATCAATCAAAACCTGAAACCCAACTCATATATGATAGGGGAATGGGAGGAAAAAGCCAAGGAATTGCCATTCAGTAACTGCAGAAAAAAAGGGAAAAAATGGCAGGAGAAAGGAGGAGGAGGGTGGGGGAGAGAGAGAGAAATGCGTTCACGACGACGGGAGGGAAGGTTTCGCAAGGCAGACATCTAACGGTCCAGCAGCATTTCGCTGAGATTCCACGATCAACTCAGCTCTCAGAAAATCCCATCAACTCAAAGGGAAAGAGAATCAGCATGCTCTGGCTGGAGAATCGGCCACACACCATCTTGGGATTTCCGACGGGATTTCCGCTTCGTCGGAGAGGGATCCTCACAACCAAGACTTCTTCGTGAGGAACCGTTTGGGCAACAGAAACCAGAGAACATAATTAAGAAGATGCATCTAATCATAACAAATGAGAGAGATGAAGCAAAACCATCAATATCGACTTATCACCTTCAAACGTCAGGGCAGGCAAATCTGGTTTCCTTCCGTCGCCAATCTCGTTCTCCCCTATGAACCCTCTTCAACATGGATTTACAACCCAAACCACAGATCTTCAGATTGGTAGCTTTTCGCTGGAATTGATGACCATCTCCGGGGCTTATGAACTCGATGTCGGTATCTTCTAATAATGCATAGGTTGAGAGTGATGGAGAACAAATCTGTCTAGCAAAAAGAAAAAAACCATAAGAAACCCACCTTGCGTTTCTGTGTATCCTCCGATTTCTCTCACCCTCCCAAATTAGCCAATTTATAGAAGAACGAACAGAGTGGAAAGAGCTGAGAAAAAGAGTGGAAAGAGCTGAAGAGACGCTTACCAACTCCTGATTACTCCGAGAGTCCTCTCCCCTCAAGACTGACGCTAGTTTTCTCTCAACCAGAAAAGGAAAAAACCAAAGAGGGAAAATGAAAAGTCGAGAAGAGAGAGAATCAAATAAGAACGAACCTGGAGTGGAGGGGAGAGTTTAGAGAAGAGAAGAACAAACAAAATATAGGGATCTCACCCTTGTCTAGTTCCCCTCTCTTGCAGAATCCTCATATGAAAGTTGGCTTTCCTCACATCTTCTCCCAACCACGGTTCTGAATCCTAGATAACAAACCTAAAATCCAAACACAGAGAAGGTTGTTGAAAAACACACGAAACCTACAAGATCACAGTCGATAAAGGAGAGAGAGACCTGAGATTCACCTTTCGGCCGCTCAAGTTCACCTTCTTCGGTGACCGCTCCAAGCTACTGAATCTTCGAATCTTCTCTTTGTCGCCGCAGGTCATCGAACGATTCTCTGGTCGATGTTTCCCTACCCCGGGTCTGAGATGAGAGAGAGAGAGAGAGAGAGAGAGAGAGAGAGAGAGAGAGAGAGAGAGAGATGAGGTAAGACTGAGGTTTCTGCTCGAAGCCATAGCGTAGAGAGAAGGGAGTTGGAGAAGGAGTGTGAGTGAAAGAGAGAGAGGGAGTGAAGGAGAGAGAACATCGTTGGGTTTGTTTCAGTTTCTAGAAAGGGTAAAGCAAGCACTGGTAGGTGAAATAAGTGGACCAAAATAAAACGCCAACGTGGCCTTTAGATCCACCAATAACCCACTAAAAATATCTCTGCATCTCTTTCTTTTCTTGGGCCATACACTTGAGACCGGCGCGATTTCCGTGGCAGAGGAAAGGAGCAAGAGAGAAGGCCGAAGCTGCTGCAGAAACCTGGCAAAACAGGCCACTACAGTGCATCAACCAATCACAGGCCTATGCATAGTAAATCGTGTCTGGTTAAACAGTAAAGTAGCCTGCCTGAACAGAGATCGGATGTTTGTGCAAATGACTCTTCTTAATAATAATAATTGATGTACTCTACCGAATTCAACTCTCATTAATCGGGTCGAATTAGGTCTATTTAAGCGTGTAAAACTCGTTATCAATCCAAAATTTGAAAAAAATCGGGTTCAACTCGCTTTAACCAGGTCTAATACCATTAATTTGGGTAAATTAGAAGCTTAATTGAGAAAACCTACTCCAGGATCCAATGATTTAAACGTGCAAAAACTCGACGTTAAGCCAAAATTTGTCAACACTTATTTGGATTTGAGTTCAATGACATAAAAGGGTTTGTAAAATCGATAAAACTCGTCCCACACCCTGACTTTTGAAACACTGGATTCAACTCGATTTTACTGGCTTGATAAAGCGGTCTGAGTTTTTAAAAAAAATCCACACCTCACCGAACTCGACAATTACAGAAGCGGGTAAAACCCGTTCCCGACCCTAAATTCATCAACACTGGATTCAACTCGCTTTGACTGGCCTGATAAAGCATACCGGGTTTTCAACAAAAAAAAACACACCCAATCAACCCGCCAATTACAAAAGTGGGTAAAACTCATCCCGACCCCAAAAATTTCAACACTGGATTCGACTCGCTTTGGCCGGATTGAACCACAAAAGTGGGTAAAACTCGTCCCCACCCAAAAAATTTCAACACTGGATCCAACTCGCTTTGACCGGCTTGATAAAGTTGGGTGAGATTTTTAACAAAATCAACATCCGACCCAACAAAAGCAGGTAAAATTCGTTCCCGACCAAGAATTCGGCAACACCGGGACCGGGGTGAATTAGGTTGAATATAGTTTTTAACAAAAGCAAAAAAGTGGGTAAAACTCGTCCCGACCCAAAAACTTTCAACACTGGATCCAACTCACTTTGACCGGCTTGATAAAGCGGGTCGAGATTTTTAACAAAATCAATACCCGACCCAACAAAAGCGGGTAAAATTCGTTCCCGACCAAAATTCGGCAACACTGGGACCGGGTTGAATTAGGTCGAATATAGTTTTTAACAAAAGCCACACCCGACCCAATTCGTTATTTACAAAAGTTGATAAAATTTTGTATTGAATTAGATTGAGTACACATAAATCTAGATACAACTGGGTTTATAAAAAAAGAAGAAAAGCAAAAGAGACAAAAAAAACCCAAAAGTATGCAGAGAACGTTCTTGACATTGTCAAATGGAAGAAACGCTTCGAATAAGCAAACAACTGGTCTCGAACATTCGTAGGTTGCGCTAAAAACACGTAAAAACGAAGTCAGGCAACAACAAAAAGAAGAGGGCACTAACCACCAACACGTTTAAGCATGAGGCAAAAAAAAAACATCACTGACCAAGCATCCGCCATTAAGTAAAAGTATTTAACAGAGCGATTTCATACATAAATCGAAAAAAGGAAAAAGGTAGGAAAGCAAAAAAACAACTGGCAACAACAAATGCGAAGGATGGTTGGTTTGTGTCTTACGCTTTCGCAGGAGAAGTAAAGCAAGGGTAAAGGCACAAAAGAAAAAAAGGAAGCAGCATTGACACTCGTACAGACAAAGCACTATTTAGTGCGTGTTGCGTTCACAACCCAGAAAATCGAAGTTGGACAACAGGCAGACAACACAAAAATACGGAAGGAAACGAATACAACCGAAACAAAAGATAAGAAATCGAGGAAAGCAAAATTAAAGCTAGAAAGCAACAAAGAAAACGGGAACAACAATTCTAGAGCGGTGCGCTAAAAAAAAGAAAGTAAAGTCGAGCAACAGACACAACGCAACAAGCGCGCAATTAAACGAACCAAGCAAGCATAGGAACAAAAAAAAACCTAGAGCGGCACGCTATAAAAAAAACAAATCAAAGTCAAGCAGCAGACACAACGCAACAATCCGCGATTAAACGAACCAAGCAATCAGAGGAACAAAAAAAAACCACCAAACTAAAAGACAATAACAACCGGAACAAAAGATAAGAAATCGAGCAAAGCAAAATTAAAGCTAGAAAACAACAAAGAAACCGGGAACAACAATTCTAGAGCGGTGCGCCAAAAAAAAAAAGAAGAAAGTAAAGTCGAGCAACACACACAACGCAACAAGCGCGCAATTAAACGAAGCAAGCAATCATGGGAGCAAAACAAAAAAAGTCCTAGAGCGGCACGCTACAAAAAAACAAAGCAAAGTCGAGCAGCAGACACAACGCAACAATCCGCGATTAAACGAAGCAAGCAATCAGAGGAACAAAACAAAAAAGAACCACCAAACTAAAAGACAATAACCAAATGACCCACTAACCAATCATTTGCATGATGTGACTATAAGTAATAGTAACATCTTACTTGTTCTTTAATAAGAAGAATGTATTGGACGTATGGAATGGGAATGGTGTGTCAGAGAAGTGTGGAAAGTGAGAAAAAAAAAAGTAAAGGAAAAGAAAGGCACAAGTGTGCAGTGTATCCATTTTTCTGTAAGTGTTAAACATAAGCCAAAACTATAAGACTATGTTTGTTTGAGTGTATTTCAAAAAAGTGATTAAACACCAATTGTTTGCTTTATATTGATCCTAAATTACCACTACTTCCGCTAAATACCCAACAAAGGTCGAGAGTTCGACCCTGGCTGTCTCCTCTATAGGGAGAGAGCGGAGGATCCATCCATCCTTGGAACCCAAGGATTGAGCATCTTTCACGTTGTATTCATCATACTCCTCCTCACTCCAATATCCGTAGTAGTGATTGTTGTTAATGTCGTCATCGTCGGAGAAGCATTGGTCGTGGTCGTCGGAGGCGGCTAATTCGTCGTCGTGGAGGGAGGTGAGCAAATCGTCGTGGCGGCGGAGGTAGCGCAGGCGCTGGCCTTGTGTGTCCGATATCTTGGATTGGGATGCGGCGATGACCACGGCCGTTTAGGGTTGGCAGGGAAGAGCGTGGTGAGGGGATGAAACTGATGGATTTGGCCGCTGTTATAGTACGCCTCGAGTCCGGATTGGGATGCGTTGGTGGTGGCTTTAGATACAACCAACGACGGCGGGCACAGCGGCCGGCCACCGTGGAGACGGAGAGCGGTGGATCTCCATGATTTGCAGGTGCGGGAGAAGGCTGCGAGCTGGGAAAAGGTCTCCACGTGATCCGGCAATTCAGAGTAATCCATCCAGGCGTGTATTAGCTAAACCCTCTCCGCGACGGCTGCCAGAGACGCAACAAATCAAAAACTTTTTTCTTTCCCGTTGTCTCTTCTTCCCTTATCTACTTTGCTGATCATCTACTCCTCCTAACTATTTGTGATGGAGTAACCGAACAAATTTGGACCCAAAAACTTAAGGAGCAATTTTTGGCTACAATTTAGGTTGCACCTAGCTAGTTCGCTCAATCTACTTATATGGAAAATTATGATTGGTCTACTTTTTATTTAATAACTGTCTTTAATTAATTATTTAATATAAAATAATGGTTTGGAGGAAATTTAATATCACGGGGACGGAAACTAGATTGGGTTAAATAGGAAATCGGTTCGGTTGTAAATGAAAATCGAGCAGATTAAACCGGATCGGTTATAATAACTGAATATCGATTTTCCAAAAATCAAATCCAATTGCTAGTTACAATGGGCTTGATAAAAACCGGTCAGTTCCCATCTGGTTTTAAACCGCCAAAACTCTTGCATACCAGTTTCAGACTCCAGTCCAACATAATTACAATCTAAGCCCAACTCACCCCTAGCCCAGCCCGCCTCGACTCGATTCCACCTCTGCGAAGAGAAGGGTTTTAACTATCATAATGGTAAAAATCTTAACTATTTTGCCAAAAAAAATAGCAAATTTCGGAGTGGAAGCTTCTAGAGTTTCACCTACGCGAATGCGATGTCCATGTCGGCGGCGGGTTCGCCCGCCTCCCCCGTCACCCTTCCGGATGAGGCGAAGCCGCTGGATGGGTGAGTTGGCAGTCGTCGTCCCCCATTGGTTTCTTCGTCGCCCGATGGAAAGAAAGCAAGAGAGGCTCAACAGGCAAAAAAAAAAAGAGTTCGTCAGATTGACCTCTCGGAAGAGGGAGTCCCTTTTGATGTGGAAGTGGAGGACATCACCGAGGAGGAGTTACGCAAGGAAGAGAGTGGACAGAATTTCCAGTCACAAGGCTCTCAACCATATTCTCAAGCAGCTACGGCCAAGCACCCCATGCCCCAGGCTTGGGGTACGGAGAGAAAGAAGCTGTTTAGTGAGGCAGTTAGGGAAGAAACCTGGTATGTGGCAGATTCCGATTCGGAAGACATGCTAGAGGCCATGAAGGAAGATGACAAGGACGAACCCTTTGAGGAGGAGGACGACCCTCGTTGCCCTAACATATATTTCTCTCCTACCGAGTTGCGGGGATATAGACGTGAATGGAGATCTGCTTTGATGGTGAAAGTTCTGGGGCGCTCTTACCCCTACCCCATAATAGCTAAACGCCTTAACATGTTGTGGGCTAAGAACGGCACAATCAAGATAACCAACCGCTCGAATGGCTTCTTCTTTGTTAGATTCGCCAGCATATCAGATTATGAATATGCTCTCAATGGGGGACCTTGGATGATCGGAGATCACTATCTGACGATCCAAAAGTGGAAGAAAGGCTTCAACACAAGGACTTGCACTATCTAGTCGACCAGAGTATGGATCAGACTCCCGGACCTCCCTATCTAGCTATTCCATCCGGAAGCGGTCCTACGTATAGCGAAAAGGGTGGGTACTCTTGTACGTGTAGATAGAGCTACGGAACTGAGAGCAAGAGGAATGTTTGCCAGGGCATGCGTCGAGATAGACCTGACCAAGCCATTGTTGGGAAGATACAAGGTGGAAGGAATTGAATATGAAATTAAGTATGAGGGGCTAGATAATATATGCTTCGAGTGCGGGACCTATGGTCACTCCAAACTGGCATGTCCCACGTTGCATGTGCATGAACAACAGAATATGGGTTCAACAGAAGAGCAAAAGGCGGAAACGAGAAGGCACGATGAACCCTACGGGGATTGGATGGTTGCTAAACGCAGGGATAGACGACCAGTCAAGAGAACGACTACTGGACAGGCGGGTAGTGCACTGACCAAAGCAACTTCAGCGGAGCCAAGACACGGTACAGGCTCAAGATTTGACATATTGGTAGAAGCTGGGGAGGAAACGGCAACGTCGGGGGCACAAGAGCGGGGGATGCGCCATAACCAGAATAAAACAAATGAGACAAGATCCTTGCAAAGGGAAAACCAGAAGCAATCTATTGCTGGGAAACAACAAATCAGGGTGGAAAAGCAAGGGGAAGATTCAACACGCAAGGATAGTCCTACCACGAGGGGGACCGAGCCCCAGCCTAGCCCCACCCAAATGCGGCAGTCCGACCAAGATAGCACTATTCAGAGTTTCTCGGGGGAAACAAACGGGAATGCAGCAAGAGCACCGATGTAGTCAGCAAACCTGCGTTAACGGCTAGTGATACCGACCCAAAGGAAGCTTCTGCTAGCAGGGATCCCTCAGCATCCCCTGGTGACCAAGGGAAGGTAGACGCAATGTTAGTGGATGGAAGTAGGGGGAGGGATCCCGCCATGCAAACCATGCAAGCCACGATTATGTCGGGCAACGAGCTGCAAGCGCCGCTGTCTTCTAGCTCTGGAGAGGATAGCGTTACTGACGTTCAGGTTAGCACCCCTCCAGGGGTGCTGCCGACGTCGAGTTGAAGGAAACATCACCCTCACATGGTGGTGATAGTGGAGCCAAGAATTAGTGGAGCTACGGCGTTAGACGTTATTAGCAAGATGGGGTTTGATGAATCGCTAGTAGTTGATGCCAATGGCTTCTTAGGGGGAATTTGGTTACTATGGGACTCCTCTATAGTCCAAATCACGGAAGAGAGACGTACTACCCAGCTCTTGAATGTGAAATTTAAGCTAGGCACTGTAGAATTTTGCTTTACGGCTGTTTATGGCAGCCCGGCTTTGGTCCAACGGAGGGAGCTCTGGAATTCGCTATGAACTATGGCTGAAGACCTATCCGTGCCGTGGGTGCTAGCGGGAGATTTTAACTCCATGTTGAGTGCTACTGAGAAGCTGGGAGGAGCTCCGTTCGATACTAGTAAAGTTTGGGAGTTCCAGGATTGCCTACTCGATACGGGTCTTACAGACCTCGGCTTTGTGGGACCGCCCTACACATGGTTCAAAAGAGGTACAAGAGAGAGGCTTGATCCGGCTCTCTCGAACATTGCTTGGTCGACTATCTTCCCGGAGGCAACGGTTATGCATTTGCCTAGAATCAAATCGGATCACCGGCCACTCTTGATCAAGGCCAATCCCAACTTCCAATGTCAAGGGCCTAAACCCTTTAAATTCCTCGCTTCTTGGCTCACCAGCCCAGATTTCCCTGAATTGGTGAAGAAGGCGTGGGGTCGAGGGTCGGATCTTCACAGCAGTACAAAATCTTTCAGCCAGAAGGCCATACACTGGAATAGATACACGTTTGGCAATATTTTTCGGAAAAAGGACAGCCTCATGAACAAGATTGAAAGACTGGAGAGTAGGAGGGGAGGGGACTCTGATTGTGCAGATTTGCGCCAGCTACGTGCGGAACTAGAAGAGGTACTGCTACAGGAGGAAATTCTATGGTGCCAAAAGTCTAGGGAGGAATGGTCCAGCAAAGGAGATAAAAATACTAGCTATTTCGATGCCCGTACCATCCGCCGAAGAAAACGCAATCGTGTGGTGGCACTGAAGGACTCGCAAGACAACTGGGTCGAGGACCAAACTTTGCTGCAGACAATGGCCAGGGACTTTTATATGAACCTATTTTTGGATGATGGCACCCTTCCGATTGCCATAGCTAGTCATTTCACAGACATTTTGGCGGAAGATTGGTTGCCGTTGGGACTGCCCTTCACAGAGGAGGAACTTCGTCACGCAGTGCAAGCCATGAGGCCCCTCAAAGCACCGGGGGACGACGGACTGAACCCTCTATTTTACCAGAAATTTTGGGATGTAGTGTCGTCATCCGTCTTCGCCTTTGCGCAAGCTTGTTGGGCGAACCCCGCCACAGTAAAGGAGATAAATGAAACTATTTTGGTTCTTATACCGAAGACTGCGAGACCGGTGACGATTGATTAGTTCCGCCCTATCAGCCTTTGCAACATGGGCTACAAGATCATCACCAAATGTCTCGTTGAATGACTCAAGCCTCTTATGCCGAAGCTGGTTCATGAAACTCAAACGAGTTTTGTGCCGGGAAGGCAAATTACTGACAACATCTGTATTTTGCAGGAAGTGGTGCACTCGATGAGAGCCAAGACAGGCAAATCAGGTTGGATGGTAGTCAAGGTGGACCTAGCTAAAGCTTATGATCGCATCAAGTGGAGTTTTGTTCAAGATACCCTCCAGGCAGCAGGCGTTCCGAGCCAGTTTTCTGATCTGACTATGAAGTGCATATCCACGGCGACGATGCGCATACAATGGAATGGAGGCCTGACAGAAGAGTTTACTCCATCCCGTGGTCTTCGACAAGGCTGCCCACTCTCTCCATACATATTTACACTATGCATGGAGAGGCTGGGGCACCTCATCCGTGCGGTTGTTGATGACGGAAGATGGAAACCAATTAGACTATCAGCAGCAGGACCAGACCTGTCCCACCTGTTTTTTGCGGATGACCTCATTCTTTTTGGTGCAGCCTCTGATGTGCAGGTACAGGTCATCAACCAGATTTTTGAGGTCTTTAGGGGAGCTTCGGGGCAACAGATCAGCAAACCGAAGTCCCGGGTTTACTTCTCAAAGAATGTATCGGCCAATCAGGGAGTGTCCTTAAGCAATGGCTTGGGTATTCCGGAAACTAAGAACCTGGGGAGATATTTGGGGGTCCCAGTTATACATGACAGAGTCTCGAAGAGAACCTATTTGGAGCTAATTGATCGGATTGACAAGAGGTTGGCGGGCTGGCGAGTAGCCACGCTCTCTTTAGCTGGACGCATCACCCTTGCTTAGTCAGTCTTGGCGTCTCTACCGGCCTATACGATGCAAACGGCCTTCCTACCGGCTGGTGTCCGAGATTATATTGATCGTAAGTTGCGAGCATTCATTTGGGGAAGCTCCGAGGCAGGGAAGAAGGTTCATCTTATTGACTGGCATACAGTTTGTCGTCCGAAAGATGAGGGAGAGCTGGGAATGCGGGATGCTACAACGATGTACGACGCTTTTATGCTGAAAATTGCTTGGAGAGTGCTGAAGGATCATAATAGCTTATAGACCAAGGTAATTCGCAACAAATACTTGAAGCAAGAAGATGGAGTACTCAAGCCACGTACGACAGGTCGTCTCTCTAACCTATGGCGTGGCGTTCTATGAGTGATCCATTGGGTGCCAGACGGAGTTCTTTGGAATGTTCGTAGTGGTACTCGAGTTCATTTTTGGGAAGATAGATGGCTCTTTGATGGCCCGCCCCTGTCAGATTTGGCGGTTGGGCTACCACAGGCAGCGAGATCGGTGCATGTTGCCGAGATGGTCCTCAACGGAAGTTGGAACTTGGATTATATTAACGCATTCCTCCCCCCCCCCCCCCCCCCCCCCCCCCCCCCCCCCCCCCCCCCCAGGTGGTACAACAGATCCAGCTCCACGAGGTCCCAAGTGAGGTTGAAGATGATGAGCCAACGTGGCGGTTTACCCCAAATGGCCAGTTGTCACTTAAAACGACATATGCTTTAATTGATGAGGAGCACCAGCCTGTGCCAGCCAACCATGTCTGGCGAGCAATTTGGAAGGCCCCGGCGATCCAACGTATCAGAGCTTTTCTTTGGTTGGTGGGGCACAATAGACTTTTGACGAACACGGAAAGGGCGAGGCGCCATCTGACCAGCCATTGCTCTTGCCCAGTTTGTGGGGATGGAGTCGAAACCACTTTGCACGTGCTCCGCGACTGTCCTTTTGCGAGGAAGGGTTGGTCCTCTTTCCTTGTGAATGAACCGGATGATAAGTTCTTCCAACAGGAGATGATGCAATGGGTGCTCCATTACCTATCAGGAAAGAGTGAGAATCTCGATGCGACGTTGTTCTCAGCAGTTTGCTGGCTGCTATGGAGGAACCATAATGAGTTGGTGTTTGAGAAAAGAATGGGGGCAGCATTACAAATTCAGAGTGGCGCCCGGAGACTGAAACACAGTATGGAGGAGGCTTGTTCACGAGAAGGTTTTTTGCTGGGAGATAAAGAGCGAAGCACTTGGCGGCAGATTGGTTGGCGGAAGCCTCAACCCGGGTGGTCGTGCATCAACACAGATGGGTCGGTGGCTTTGGGCCAGCAGAGCTCGGCGGCAGGAGGCGTAATACGTGATGAGGATGGAAGATTCTTAGGCGCCTTTGCTATGAATCTGGGAGAGGGCTCGGTTACTCGAGCTGAATTGATGGGCATCATCCAGGGTTTGCAGTGCGCGTGGGAGCTCGGAGTCAGGAAAGCGGTCCTCCAAACGGACTCAAAGGCGGCGGTGGAGCTTATCCATTCTGCGAGCACATTACATCCCCACTACCAGCTTGTGCTTCAAGTGCGAAGATTGAGTGAACGGCAATGGGAGACAGAAATTGAGCATGTTTATCGGGAGGGTAACGTCGCGGCCGACTTCCTGGCGTCAACGGGGCATACCCTGCCCTTTGGAGTTCACTTGATTTCGATCCCTTCTCCTCTTCTTAATTTCTGGTTGTTGTATGACCTGGAGGAGAATCAAAGCCTTATAGCGCCCGTTTATTACCCAAAAAGAAAAATTAGCATAGAAGAGAGGAGAATATTGTTTCTACTCCATATTTATATAACTATTAAAATTCTAACATCAATTTGCTGATAAATACTGACCCGACACATAAACAGAATTCATCCGAATGATCGATGAACGGATCCATATTAACTGCATAGAATGCTGTAGCGTTCTCTATAGCCTCTAATTGACATCTACTAAGGCTTAGTTCATTCTTACAGGAGAAAAATTCAGAGCTTTTCAAAATCACTACAACTTGAGTTCTCGTCTTCTCGATCAACTTGAAGATGGGTCGGCCGCCAAAGCTAAATCACTGCTTTCTTTCACTTTTGTAAAAGAAAATAACAAAAATAATTGCCTATTGATCAAAACCTTCTTGTTCCACAGTGGTAGATACATCCTCATCGTCGTCGGATAGCAAAGCTCGAAATCTGTTGGTGCGGGTAATATTATTATGATGAGCAGGATGTTTCGGGTTCCTGACGGCTCTCTTGGGCAGCTTCCAGCACTCTGATCCGGGAAGTAGGCGCTCCCGTTTCCATGCCTTCTTCTCCTCCATATGATGTTTGTCGTGTAGCTTAGAAATATCCCTGCATGCATGGTACGTACGTACGTAGTGATATATACATTATATATTATATATAGATCCCAGGAAGAATATATTATAAAGATCGCAACAAGAGTTAATTACCAGGTCACAGGAAGGAACCAGAAAGAGGGAAACGTATCGCGGTATATATCGTCCCGGCGACGCAAAGCAAAGCTCTCCAACGTGTGATCAGCAAGATCGAAGACGCCATCCCAATTGTGGCCCCTCAACCAGCACGGCCCCGGGCGGGTATGATCCAACGCCATGTAGATGTGGTCCCCTTTCACCCCGCCGCCAGCAGCCGGGATCGAGAAAGACTCGTGCGGCCCTATGAACCATGTCCATCCAAGCTCTTTACTTCTTATTCCCAATAGTAACTAGTAGTGTCGTCGCCGCTGCTGTGTAGCTTGAAGACCCGGGAAAGAATGGATCCCGACTGGTCGTCTTTGCTTAGGATGATGACGAGGAGCTGCCCGTTCAGTTCACACGAGTGGCAATACCTCCACGTGTCCTCGGACATAGCTTCAGAGAACGGGAATGAACTCATGGGATCCGGCCACGTCATATCAAACACGAGGACACGACATCTGTTCCCGACGACGACGTATAGGTTGCCGCCAAAGTACACTGCATCTACTGGGTAAGAAGAGGCCATGAATCCCCAACCTTGTCCAGAATGTTCGTCTTCGCCATCGATGAATAATAATCTCCAACCAGCTTGTTCTCCTCCTCCTCCTGCTTTGCACCACTCTACTCTCAGACCCCAACGAGGCAAGATGAAGACGTGGCAGTCTTGGTCGTCGTTTTCAGGGGAAGAGGAGATGATGGCTTTCGAGATGTGTCGTACGGAGTTATAACTTCTTGGAAGCGGAGGGAGAGGGACGGATGCGCCGGTGAATGGGTTTAGCAGGTATAGTTCCAACGGCCGGCGGTCGTAACCGTCCCGTCGGGAGCGGGGGCGGGAGCGGAGGATCCAGCCGTTTTTGGAACCCAAGCTGCGGGCGGATGTATCGTCGAAGGAGTTTTTACTATAAAATGAAAGAGAAAACACTTTATGAGTGAAAAATAGTGATAATAGATTTTTTAATTAAGTCTAACTAGTTGAAAGGTCAAGTCTAACTAGTTAAAAAAATTCAAGTCATAATATGAATAGATACTGTAAGGAATTGAGGTAAAAAAGGGCCAAGAATGAGGCGTGGAGGGACAGGACGCGCGGGAAGTTGATATATCCATGCCCCATCCCATGCTACTACGGGTGGGGCAATACCCGCCCCATCGCAGGTTAGGTCGGATAATACGCGTGGTGCGAGTTCAAATTGCCATCACTAATTTTGGTATTGTTTTTTTTATCTTGGAATTGATGAATCATTGATATAAAACTAATTAGTAGTGCATGTATATAGTTAACCTGCATTATACACAAAATGTGATATTATTATTTAGAAATATTTTAAATGAGGTGAATGAATAATTTGACACTATAATATAAAGTTTGTTATGAATTTTGTATTCATAATGAGGGATACATAGCATGGTTGGTCACTATATCAACTTGATTTTATATTGTGCTTATTGTGATAAAATATTAATTGCATCAATAATCACTGAGTTTACGTTTTTGTTTCACCACTCGTGATATATTGTTTATCCAACTTCGATATCTTTGTCCTATGTAACACTCTACTCTAACATTTGATCCTTAAATCAGTGACTTGATAATTAAAAATAGTTATAAAATAAGATTAGTTATATTTAGTTTTCCAACTATTTGTTGAAATTTCATCCACATCAATAATATATATTATGAACCAATTATGAATCTTACATGACACTCAATGTTCAATACAACTGAATTGTACTATTCGAGTTGACACTTATAAAAATGCAAATTTACATATGATGAAATTGAAAATGCAAACCATTTAAGAAAATAAAAACATATTAATATATTTTCCTTTATTTTTTAAGAAAACAATAGATTATTTTGTCCAACTCATAGTAGCAAAGTCCTAATTTTTTCAAAACTTGATGCCAAGTCTGACCGATAACAGACCCCAATAAAATGAACAAATTCAACCCAAAATTTATCAAACAGCACGGTTTCATTCTCCTCGTTTGGAATTCAAGCCTAATTAAGTGAAGTATTAAGCTTTCATAGAAATCAAAGGAATCCGGGATGCAAAACAGTAAACTCGTAATCAAAGGATTCCAGGTTAATTGCCTTTCCTGGGGCTCGTCGTGTGCAACAGAAGCAGGGGAATATATGTGAAATCATGAGTTTTTTGTTTTCCTGATTCTTCGCTCACAACCGCACTCATTTTTGTTGCGATGTTTGTTATAGTATGATAGTTGAAGGACATAAAAGTGCAAAAAATTAATAGAGGGGCACGTTTGTTAACTTGTAATAGTAAAGGGGCATACAATGCTATTAACCCATTTTTTTAATGTTGACCCAAAAGTGAAAATAATCTTATTTCATTCTTAATTATCCTTTTCATAGATTTGTTATTTACAATAGCATATGGTCGATGAACTTTCATAAGGTAGAAAGGTCGTCGAATATATTATTTATGTTTAAACTTCTTTTTTGACGCTATTGTTTCAATTTGTATGGTTAGTAGTTGATCTTGTTGTACCTTTTGCAGAATTAAGCAGCTTCTTTTAAAGAAGTATTAAAAAAATAGTTTTATGTTTAGCTAAAAAAACTCTGAGAATTACTTGGATTGTCCAATGTGGTACTTGGATTGTCCCATAACAGGGTCAAATTAGGTTGGATACCCATGGATTTGAGTTCAATTGTCTTTCTCAAACAAAACGAAAAGCGAAATGAAAAACACTAAAACAGAAACTCACTACCGACTCAAAACTCGTCAACACCAGATTCAACTCGCTTTGACCTAGTTGGACCGAGTTTTAGCTTTTGGCGACTACTTTGTTTCTTTGGGCGACCCATCGCCAGCACAACAACTCATGTTGTATTGAGTTTGAAAGCTCTGAATTTTTCTCCCGTAAGAATGAACCCCTTAGTGGAGATGCCGATTAGAGGTTACAGAGAATGCTACAGCATTATTGTACGCAATTAATTTTCGTATATTGATCATTTGAATCAAATCTGTTTATGTGCCGGCCGCATCCGTCTTTACCAGCAAATTGATGTTAGAAGTGTAGTAGTTATATAATAGTGTTTATGAATACTAAATAAATAGTACATGCTCTTCGGCGGGTAACTAATGTACAATGGTTTGATTTACACAATGCCAGATACAGCCAAAGCAACATTTGGCCAGAGTTGGATCAAGTTATAACGACTTATTGTGAGCAAGTGGGAGGAAGAGCGAGCTGAAGATCACAACAAGAAAGCTCTGGTGACTATGGAATATATGTCATTATAGGGTGTTTAAGTGCCTCTAAAATCTTTTAGAGACACATATTTATGTGCTATCAATGCTGCTATCGCTAGTTCTTTTTAGCGACACAAACTATTTGTCGCTAATTATGAATCTAAAGACTCCTAAATCTGCTTCTAATATATAGTTGCATTCGGCATCATACTAAGGGTCCGAGATCCTCCCTATTACAACAAAACATAAATTACCAATAGTATGAATTCTTACAACTTCATGTGTCATTACAAATCCTGTATGTTTTAGGAGTCCTGTGAATTGTGATTAACAAAAGTCTACCAAGAGTATTAGAGTCAAGCTTACTTGTCGAGAAGAGCTAGCTTTCACCTTTTTAGCCTACATATAATATCATTTGAATATAATGTTTATAGTAAATATAATAATACGACATAACATTAATGATTATCACAAAGTTAGAAAAAGAATGAGAAAAACCTGTGACTTTAATCAACTTTATGACTTTTCTTTCGCTCTAACGACCTTTTCAATTTGCCTTTTGGTCGCCCAACTGTAGCTTTGGTCTTAACTTCGGTGACAACTGGATAATGTTGTTCACCTTTTGAGCATAATGCCTCATCAGAAGTTCCAGTATAAGAGGATTTTTTCATCTCTTGCAATTCATTGAACAAATTTGAGAAAACTCCAAATGCATGCTCATGCATAGTGTCATTTTAGCAACTAGGGTAGATATCTCTCGGAAATTGCAATTCAGATTCAGGTAACACTTCCCTTAACTTGAGCTGAGCTTCTTATTTGTTCATCTTTTGTATCCTATGTCCATCTCTTCAATATATAATATTTCGGAATCTGCTTGATATTTTTCTTGTCAAAAACTTTCAAAGCATGAGCACGTAAAATTCCCTTGAAGCCTAACTTCTTGTAATTGCATTCAACTATTTGAAGAGAAGGCTCAAATCGAACTTGGTGCTCTGTACATCTACCAGCATATATATTTGACTTTGTATACCAGCTAAACTTCTGTTTTGCTAACCTTATCAATAATGCAATCCCAAACTTTGATGTATTATTCTTGGAACATCATAAACACTTGGCCTAATACCAGAAAAAGGCCCATAGTTTAAAGTTTAGGTCATTTGTACCCCTATGTTTATAACGCGTCACTTTTGTCCCGAAGTTTGGATCTCTTTGTCAAAAATGTCCTCTGTTATTTCATTGACCGTTAAAATTAACGGTCAACCAAACGGCGGTCAACGTTTTTGTTGACTTCCTGCCAACGTGTTTGCCACGTCAACGACACCTAGGAAAAATTTATTAAAGTTAAAAAAAATTATTAAGAAGAAAAAATTCAATCATTAAAAAAATATTATTAAAAAGAACTTTCCCAGCTTCTCCTCAACTTCCCTCAAGCCTATGCAGATCGAGCTTTTGTAAAGGTTATCCTACAAGCCTCTGTGGGCTGTGGCGGATCTCCGGTGCCCGCTCCCACTCTTTCGCATCACCGCCAACTTCACAACAACAGGAGCTCGTCGCATCACCGTCAGCGGTACAACTCATGGACTCCCGTCGCCCTCGGCCGCGGCTCCTTCCGCCACGAGTCTTCACCAGATCTCACACCGCTCGATCTCTTCGCCGGAGTTAACTGAGTCGCCGCCAGATCCAGGCTAGTTTTCCGTCTATGCCAACATCGCGAAGAGTAGGGTTAATTTAAATCAGATGAAATCGATGCCACCAGGCCGGGGTCTCTTGATTCACTGTCGATCTATAGCTGGGCCTGCTCGCCGACCAATCGAGCTCGCCGCCGCCCAATTTTGCGCTGCAATCGAGCTCGCCGCTGATTCGGGTCCTGCTTCCCCCTGCTTACATCCGTTGATTCGCTCCTTAATACCAGAACGGAAGCCGCCGACCAGATCGAGTCGTTTCCATCTGTCTTTGTCAATGGGAAGAAGGTGCTCGGCGGCAGGAAGGAGGAGCAGAGGGGAAGAACAAAATTTTTGGGTTTGTAAATCGTGGCTTTGCGGTAATATATTGGTTTTTTATTTTATTATTTAAATAAATATCCAATTTTATTTATAAGTATTATTTTTATTTTATATAAAGTGATGTGGCAAAAAATACACATCATATGCCACGTCGTCAGTCAAAATTTTGACTGTTGACCACTAACGGTCAAAGTTCACGAAGACCAAACTTCGGGACAAAAGTGACGCGTTATAAACATAGGAGTACAAGTGACCTAAACCCTAAACTATGGGCCCTTTTCTGGTATTAGGCCTAAACACTTTAAGAGTGTAAATCTTTTATGTATGTCTTAACATCTCTACATCTGCATTCAATATTGAGATGGTGTGCCTCATTTTGAACTCTGACAGCAGCTCTTTATGGCGTCTATCTTCTACCTACTGAGAATAGTGCTAAAAAAGTGCATACCAAGAAACAAGAAGCTTTTCCTTTTACGTTGGAAAAGTGAGCTAAAAATTGCTCATAAAGTATAAACTCTAATAGCTACATTTTTCGGGTAAATGTCACATTTGGTCATTGAGATTACTAAATCATGTCATGTTTAGTCACTAAACAAATTCATATAAATTTTGGTCACTCGAATTACTGAAACATGTCACATTTAGTCACTCTTCGTTAGTCATGTTTCAGTAATTTGAGTGACACTCATAATTAAAAAAAAAAAAGTAATTCAAGTGAGCGGAGTTGGACGGAGGCTAACGGAAGAGTGACTAAATGTGACATATTTTCGTAATTCGAGTGACCAAAATTAATATTAATTTTTCTAGTGATTTAACATAACACAATTTAATAATTCCAGTGACCAAATATGACATTTACCAAATATGGCATTTGCCCTTACATTTTTCTTCTTATGTTCTTCTTCCTTTCTGATCCCGTAAAATAAAATAACCAATAGCGAAATAATTGGACCCTAAATATATACGGATTCTTTTGTTTTCACTTTTCACCCTCGCTAACCCTCTCAAAACCCTAGCTATACGGCTGCAGAGCCGCCGCTGCCGCCGCACGCATCGATGGATTACTCAGGATTACCAAACGAGATCATAGAGAAGATAGCGTCCCACCACTTGGACACAGTTTCCCAGCTCATCTCCTTCGCCGGCGTCTGCAGATCATGGAGATCCGCCGCTGTCCTCCTCCGCTTCCCTCCCCAATTGCTCGTCCCCGCAACCGCCGCCGCTGACGCAATCCTATCCCCGGACGTTGCGTCGACAGGCCAAATCCATGACCTCGTATCCCTCACTGCACTCATAGCCCTCCCTCCTCCGCCGCCGCCGCCGCCGTCAATCGCCCTCCCTCTCTTCCCGCCCGCCTCCAACATGTCGGACGCCCACGGCCAGCGCGATCGCTACCTCCGCCTCCACCGGCAATTCCTCACCTCCTTCCCCGTCATCCGACAAGGCGGCGGCGACGACGACGAATCCACATCCGACCACGACGCTCACTGCTTGGCCTCGAAAGACGGGTGGATCCTCCGTTCCCTCCCCGCCCGCGGGGACGGCTACGTCCGCCGCCAGATCGACCTCTACCTCATTAACCCGCTCACCGGCGCCTCCATCCCTCTCCCTCCCATCACCAAGCCTGAATATGCCCACGACGTCAAAGCCATCATCTCCTGCTCCCCTGCAGAAGAAGAAGATCACTGCCACGTCTTCACCCTCTCCACCTGGCAGAACAACTTGCTGGCGTGGTGCAAGGTCGGGCCGGGAGGCGGCTGGACGTTCCCGCCGAGGAACTGCCTCGTCCGTCTCCAAGACGACACGCCGATTCGAGACGCCTCCTACTCGGGAGGAAACCTCTACCTTGTCGGCGAAGAAGCGCTCTGGGTCGTCCACGACATCCTCAAACCCTTCTCCGCCGCGACGGGGCCCACCGTGAGGGCGTTCCCTTTCTCCCGCTACATGAACTCCCTCGACGCCCGAAGCTGCTGTCGGTATAGGTCGCTTCCTCACCCCTACTTATGCCACCTCAGCGGCGGCGAGGTTCGCGTCGTTATCCCGGATTACAAGGGGAAATACTACGGGGAATACCTGGCGTTCCACGTGTTCAAGCTGGTCGTGGACGAAGCGTGCGACGCGGGGATCGACGAGGCGGCGAAGTTTCGTAGTGGTAAGAATGTTGAGAGGGGTGTTTTTTGGGAGGAAGGGTGGAGTTTGGATGGACATGCTGTGTTCATTGGTGCTCACCAATCGGTTTGCTTACCGACTAATAAGGTTGCTGGTGGTAGTGGTAGTGATAGTGTTATCAATCCGAATGGTAACGGGATTCGAGGGGACCACATCTACTTCGCGCTGAATCGAGTTTGTTGCCATCGGGGAACGTTTGGGGAGGCGAATTGGGATGGCGTGTTTGATGTCGCCGGCCAAAAGTTCCAGAGGTTTGCTGATGAGCGGTACAGGGAGAACAAGACGATGCACGCGACTTTTTGGTTTATCCCTGTGCCCTGGTAAATAATGAAGCTTTGAATTTGCCACCATATAATACGTACCTCTTTATGTTTTAATTTCCAGGCTTGTAATGTTCTTGACGAGAATGGTGCATGTTGTTGCGATTGCAGGGGAAGCACTAAAAGTCGGCAGGGAAGAAAGAAGAGAGGAAAAAAGAAGAAGAAGAAGAAACAAATTGAAGGGGCGGCCTCACAAGAGACAGAAACTTTTACACAGTAAACATAGGATTACTTTTTGCACGGTCATTAAGAGTTGCTCTCATATGATATTGTTGGTTTTTCGTATGGAGAATTGTTTATAACTTGTGAATTGTGTTTGGAAATGGACGGTGGAATCGGAGAATGGAGTTTCTAAGCTTTTGGAGTAGTGGGGGGAACACTGCGGCAGAGGAAAGAACAAAAGGAAGCTTTTGTTATTTTTTTTCTTTGTATTCTTTCTACACACCCAAATGTATGAATAAAAATGAATAAAACATGGATATATTGGGCCAGCAATAAAAGCCTATTTTAGGTGTGGGCCTAGGAATGGCAATGGGCGGGTTTGGGACGGGTTTGTCTAAACCATCGTCATCCCTGCTTTCAAATATCTACATCCATATATACCCGTCCCATACTCATGCGGGGAAAGGTTTTGCAAACCCATCCCCATACCCATGGGTTTCGGGTACCCATAGGTAATACCCGTCCCTTACATCCAGCATTATAATATCGAATATTTACATGTAGATTTTTAATTATAACATTAAACGCACATACTATATCATGAAGCCGACAAAGAGACAATCATTTTTAATATGATTCAAAACATTTTATCTCCATCAATCCATATCAGAGTAGAGTACAATGTCATCCAAATCATTATTCTCTACACTAATACATCTATTAAGTAATAATTAAGTAACATAATTTTGTTAAAAGGGAAAAAGTGAGAGTGAAGGAAAAATTGAGAGAAAGAAGTTAGATTTTGATTTGGGTGGCCACTCAATTGCATTTCTACTATATATTTTTCTTGAGATATACTCACTATTATTGATAGGTTGCAAATTGATTCACATATTTTTCATATATGAAGAAATATTTTTGGTTGGGCTGGTATGGATATGAGTATGGGGCGGGGGAGGCTAAAACCATAGCCGCCCCATACCCATCAAATTTTTTGCGGGTTTTACCCATACCCGCTCCATACCCGACCGGATATCCGTGGACATGGGTTTAATTGCCATTCCGCCACTCAATTCTGCTTATTGTCGCCTTTTTTTTTTTTTTTCTCTCTTTGCCTTCTTTAAACTAAACTGCGATGTGCATGCCTCAATTCATTCAAATACACATAATAATTCCAAATGAGACGCGAATTGCATATTCGCTTATATAGACCGTAGTTTTGGAAATATTTGTATAAATATTGTATATTAGTTACTATTTTTTAATCATGCTAATATGACTACAAATGAGCTAAGTCGAGTCAAGCTTTACTTTAATTTGGGCCCTACTCATTAATAAACTAGTCGAGTTCAAGCTCAACTCATTTGCTAATGAATCAAGTCGAGTTCAATCTAAGCTCATTTACAAAAATCTTTACTTTTGTTTGATACATTCATTTTGTATGTCATGTATGATACATGCAATTGATGTGATGATGGAAAAAAATACAATTTTTTAATTATCTTAGGCTACACTCTTTTGATATAATATTATTTAGTTCATAAATGTTAACCAATCCGAATCATGTTACTCATAGTATCGAAGTAATCTATGATACATAATTTCTTTTTTTTAATTAAAAATAAGAATGTATTTGCTTACATATTAAATGTCTTAAACATCATATAGGGTGAAATATATAATTTAACAATCCTATGAGTTATCAAAATCCAACTCATAAAATAAATCGATTCGCTCACAAGTCGAAAGTCGAGTTGGCTCTCTAGCCACAATGTTGAAATTTGCATGAGCTCTAAACAAGTCAACTCACAAGTTAAACTCAACAAACTAGAACTAACCAAGCCACCGAGTCGAACTGGCTAGCCATCTTCGCGAGCTGAACAAAGTTTAACTCAAACTCCTCATTAGTAAACTAATAGAGTTTTGAACAAGTTTTTTCCAAACCAAACATCGAGTCACTAACGAAAAGCTCAGCACATTTGCATCCTAGTGTTTACCCATAAAAAATTAGCTTGTACCACATCGATTAACTACAAAAAATTTAAGGAAAAAATCCCAAAGTACACTAGTTTTTAAAAAAAATTCTCAAAATACATGAGTTATAAAAAAAATTCCCAAAGTACACATGTTTGAGCATCACCGCGTTTGACAAACACGGTGAAGATCATCACCGCTTTTGTCTAAAACGGTGAAGTACTCACCGTTTTAATTAAACACGGTGATGCCTTCACCGTTTTAATTTAAAACGGTGAAGCACTCACCGTTTTAGTGGGACGCGGTGAAGTGCTGACGTGGACAGCACGGGGTATTCACCGCGTTAGACAAACACGGTGAATAACCCGTGTTTGTTTGCGTCAGCAATCCGCGCCATTGTGCTTTCACCGTGGCCGTCAGATGCGGTGAGACGCGGATCGTGGTTTTCTTCCCACGATCCGACGCCTCGCAGCACGCCACGTCACCATGCATTCACCGCGTTTGATGAAGACGGTGAGTTCACCGCGTTCATCAAACGCGGTGAATGCATGGTGAATTAACTGCGCAGCATCTCCTCCCCCCTTCCCCCAAACTATAAATACCCCCTCCCCCTTTCACTTTCAACTCACCCCACAAACATTTACCTTCTTTCTCCCTCAATTTATCCGCTCTAGTCTCGTTCTAAGTATGCTCTGTGGTTGCGGCTAAGTCCGATCTTCCACATCAGAAAGAATTACTAGAGTTTGACCCTAAAGCCCCCGTCCCGCTAAGTTCCCGTCCCTTACAAAGCTAAACCCGTCGAACCTCTGTCCGGCTTCCGCCAATAATGGACGAAGAGGCTCTTCGTGTAGGTTTTTGGTTTGTGATTTTTTTTAATCGAAACAATTTGATTTATTCTTTATCAAAACAATCTCTGATTATATTACTTTTTTATAGATGGGTGCCGAGATATACGATCCTCGATTGTATATCCATTATGGCCCAAGGGATGCGAGTCTATTAACCGATCAGCAAATGCATCGCTCCCGTGCCATTTGGGATAACAATCCGGTAATTTGATGAACTGACTTGCTTTATTTTATTATTTTCTAATGTTTTATTTTGCTTTATTTAATCTAATTAATTGATGTTTTTCCTATTTTTTTTAGGAATCTCTTGTTCCCGTGGTTCATAAAGGGACCAATAACTTGCCCGCTTGGCATCCAAGGTTGGAGCCCTATATAGCGAGGACCGGTTTGGGAATGTTGCGCCATTTCTTGCGGATCGAGATCGACAACGAGCTGCTTACGGCAATGGCGGAACGATGGCGTCCCGAAACCCATACATTCCACCTTGCGGAGGGGGAAATGACGATCACCCTCAAAGACGTGGCGATCCTCACCAGGCTTCCTATATCTGGAGATGCCATCATTGGGAACACGACCAAACCCGAAGGAGGTTGGGGGCCGCTCATCCGTGATCGTTTGGGCTTCGACATGCCGACCACCACACCAAATCAAGGACGGGGGCATCCACCGTTGAATGCGGGGCAAGTGTCGGTCCCGTGGCTGGTATCTCACATCCAGCAAGAGGTGGAAATCAATGACGAGACACCGGAAGAACAAGTCGAGCGCTACGCCCGCATCTACCTCATCGGTTTGGTGGGTGGATTTTTGTTCCCCGACAAGTCCAACCGGTGGATTCAAGGCATATGGTTGCCATTGCTCACCGGTGACTGGGATGCAATTGGAGAGAAGAGTTGGGGATCGGCCGTGCTAGCGGGCGTATACCGGGAGCTGTGTACTTGCTCGAGGGTTGGGGCAAAGCAAGCTGGTGCTGCGATGTTCATCGTTCAGCTGTGGGTATGGGAGCATCTTCCAATGTTCGCACCTCTCGACCCACGTCCATACCGGAGAAACGATGATGAGCTCAACCTTCTGCAAAATCTCCCCTACGGTGTCAAGTAAGTTTATTCCGTACTTAGCCCAATTTAAATTTTATTACATGCTTGAGCTAGATTTAAATTGAATTTATTCCGTACTTAGCCCAATTTAACTTTTTATTACATGCTTGAGCTAGATTTAAATTGAATTTATTCCGTACTTAGCCAATTTAACTTTTTATTACATGCTTGAGCTAGATTTAAATTGAATTTATTCCGTACTTAGCCCAATTTAACTTTTTATTACATGCTTGAGCTAGATTTAAATTGAATTTATTCCGTACTTAGCCCAATTTAACTTTTGATTACATGCTTCAGCTAGATTTAAATTGTCTGCACTTCCGTACTTAGCCCAATTTAATTTTTATTACATGCTTAACTAGATTTAAATTGAATTTAAATTGATTCCGTACTATTGACTTACAAGGTGGATAGGAGCAAATACGAATGACCATCAGCCTGAGCATTCGTTACTGTTTTATCGTTCTGAGTTAGATAAACCATGGTGGAATCAGGTAATCATGTTTTGTCCATATTTGAACAAGATCAATTTTATCAAAGTAAATGGTCGTTAATTCCGAATTTTTGTGATTTTAGGTTATATGGGATCCATATCCACGTGAAGTGGTTGAGCTGCATCATCTTAGGCACCCTCTGGATCACGAGACGTGGTTGTGCAAGGTGCCATTGATCTGTTGGCACATTGTGGAATGGCACCTACCCGATCGATCCCTGAGGCAGTATCGAATGGAGCAACCAATTCCACAAGACCCGCCAGCAGGTTTCAAGGAGCTACATGCTATGGACCTCCGAAACAATGCAAACTGGACGCTAAAGCATGGATTCTACATCAACATCTGGGAGAATCGATCCCAATGGGTGGTGCAAGGGATGCCGGAGACGAGACCGATGGGCTACCACGATGGGTACATGCAGTGGTATCGGAAGTTCACCTTGAGATGGGTGTCAAAGCAAGGTGCTGTGATGGGTTCGGTGGTAAGTCATCCTAATCTCCCTCATTCTTAAATATATTTATTTTAATGTTTAGTTAATTTGATATATTTTGTGCTTTCCTTAGGTTGATGGTTTGGAACACGCGAAGTACACTCTCGAAAGTGCTCCAACCATGGATGAGCGGAAGACTACTTGGTTGACCCGACTTATGAATAACCTCCTGAGTTGCACCAGAGAGCAAAGGAGGGATGTCGTGGCCTATCCTCCCGTTCCTGCCCCGGCACGACCCTCATTCCGTGATGATGCAGCCATTGTGCCCCCGGTTGAGCCTCCACGAAGGAGCAAACGCAGGCCTTTGCCTACGTTCGAAGAGGTGCGTACCACTCAAGAAACCGAGCTCCCCGAACCGTTCGAGTACCAGTGGGCACCTACAGCGGATGCCGGTGGAGGCTCATCGAGTCGTGGGGGATCTCAGGAATGGGACACTTTCTCTCATGGGTTC